GCGGCAAGACAAAAGTAATTTCGCGCGCGGGATTGCGCGCATAGAAGAGGGGCGTGCATTTTCTCACCCGTGAGAAATGAGCATTCCCGGCGGGCTGAAAAAGGGCGATGCGTCGCGCCACCGACCGTGGAATAATTCGACGACCTCGACATAGCGTACGATAATCCAGCGTGTAGCGCGCGCGCGCGCGCGCGCGCCGGGCAGGGGGACGATGACAGAAAGGTGAAAGTACCGGGGAGGGACGACGCGAATAGTCGAAGGGGGTGAGGCGGAGAGTAGGCGCGGTGCGTCAACGTATATACAGCTACAGAGGATTATAATAAGCCGAGCCGTGCTCCGAAATTTATTTCGTTCTCCATTAATAACGGCACTCCGGCGGCCGCTTGAAAGGGCCAGCGTACACCGGCACCCTTTCGCCACGCGACACTTATTATTACCATCGCCAAGGGTGGCCCTTCATCCATAGAGCCGTGCGACGTGCGCTCGCTTTCGAGCTCGAGTCCTTTCGAAAACGTACACGCGCCGATCTCGCGTAATTGCGGTCCGTCGGCTTCTCGATGAAGCTTTCTCTTCTCTCTCTCTCTTTCTCTCTCTCTCTATCTCTCTCCCTCCCTCTCGCTTCCTCCCTCCCTTGTTCTCTTTTAATTAAATTGCATGGTTTCGGAAATTTTTGCTCTCCTAGTTAGTTATCGATTAAAAATCGAGATATTTTATCCCCTGAACAGATTAAACAATTGAAAATTAAAACTTTCAATTTTCTATGATAAATTTATATAAACAATATGAAAAGGATTGCAATGCAAGTGAGTACGTCTTGGAGAATCCAACGATACGTACGCGATGTATAATCCTTCAATCGGATCAAGTAAGTGGAGCAACATTTTTTGCTGGTTTAGCGTCGAGGCCAGCGTGTGGGCGCATAGTCCCCAAGGATGCGTCACAATTCGAGAAGCTCCCGTGCGGCCGTCGTTCATTGCCGAACCATCGGCGGCATCGTTATCTCGCTCATTAATAATCCGTTCAACGATGGGTTTCATTTCGAACAGCACGAGTGCTCCTGAGAACGGTCTCGTTAGCGTACGCCGATCGTTTCCGCGTACCCGCAATCGGTGTATCGCGGTCAGCGGCGCTCGTTAGAAGCGCTTTTGCTTCTCGAGTAACGTTCAATCGTCTAATTAGCCCGTCTACTCATCCACGAGAGACGAGAGAGCCAGCCAGCCAGCGAGCGAGCGAGCGAGAAAGAGAGGGAGAGAAGGAAGAAGAGAGAGAGAGAGTGGTACTCGATGGCACCGGCTATTCGAACTTTCGATCGATCCTTATCGCGATACACTCGACGCGGTAATTCACTCGCCGCGATAATCGCACCGACGCGCAATGATCGCGCGCGAACGCATGCGGCTTCATTGTTCGCGCGCGAATAATTTCACGTTACGCAATCCTTATCTGAGAGGGGAGGTGAAACCGCCAACAGGGAGAGTTATCTTCCAGAGAAGCGGCTAGAGACAGACAGAAAGAGGAAGACAGAGATAGAGAGAAAGAGGGAGAGAGGGAAAGAGAGAGAGAGAGGAAGAGCATTACGCATTACCAGCCAGGACAATGGAGAAAGTCGAGTTGCGAGCTGCATCTAATGTCGATCGCGATGTGCCGTAATGGCGAGCGTATACGAGAGAGTACGCTGATTGCGACTACTCTCGCGGGTAATTATGCGACACGTAGCACGTAGCTGCGGAATGCAAACGGTCCCCCCTTATCGCCACTCTGTTACAGCCGATTCACGCGCCGAGTATCTCCGACGAGTGATAATAATAACTCCGCGTGGCTAGGGTAGCAGCTGAACTCTCTCAAGTCCGATATGATTCCTTGCTCCGTTCGGCGGGGGAGAGCGGGTATTAAGAGGATTTACCTACTTGCTGATTATCTCACTTGAAACGTGTTGCCGCGACCGTGACGCGGTTAGTGGATGTCGAACGACATCTCTGATCTCTTGAGAATGTAAGCCGACGTCGTTTCTTCGACGGAGCATTATACATTGAGGGAAAAATTATCTTAGAATCAACAAATATATTTTTGATGCCATTAATATATTTACTTAAATCTAAATTTTCTTTATTTAAATTAAATATTGTTTATCTGATTTAAGTAAACAATATGTGATTTAAATAAAGAGAATTTAGATTTAAATAAATGTGTTAATTAATGGCACCCATCAAAGAAATTTGATGATTTTAAGATAATTTTTTCCTCAGTGTACTTTCCGCGATTCACTTTAAATCCGTTTTGCTCGAATTGAGATTTGCACTTTTTATTGAAAATCGCGCCTTTTTATTCATTTATTCATTTATTTTTCACTCAATTTATCCTTCAAAATTTGCTCTCGAGGTGAAATTTTACTGGGAAAGTACGGAGTGACTACCGAGTCACTCGAAATTGAAGAGTGAATCTGATGTACTTCATCGTTTCAGGAACATATTCACTCAACTGAAACATTCGCTTATATGGCGTCAGGACCCTCTCTAAGCTCGAGTGAAACATTCACTTTTGCGCTGCAAGAGTGGCAATATTTTCACTGTTACTTCGAGTAATAGACTTAAGGAACGTCTACATTGGAAGTAAATAGCAAGAAGTAGGAAGTAAGAGTAAGAAATTGACCAACCACAGTCGAATGTGAGAAGAATAATCAACTATGATTGGTCAATTTCTTATTCTTACTTTCTACTTCTTACTGCTTACTTACAATGTAGACGTCCCTTTAGAGTAAACTGCCACTTTTCACCTGTTTTAAATGAGATTCCACTGCAAACAGTTTAGAGATTAAAGATTCATTTTTGACGCAAACACAAGATTTATTTTCAACTCAAGATCCTTAATGTACAGAAATCCTTAATGATTCAACTTGTCCTTAATGTACAGAAATTAATCGCAAGTCAGTCGGAAAATTAATCGATGATATCGATGATATTGATCGATACAAAACGAATGCTCATCGGCTACGGGGCAGTCTCAGCTTTCGAATGCAATTTACCCCACGTCTCTACGACGTTTCCACGAGGAGAAATCGACGAGCGGCGAGTCCTTTGACGGGGACCGAGGCCCGCCGACAATGTTGCGCGCCGCTCTTTTTCGGCGAGCGCGCCGCCGAGGACGAGGTGTGAAGTCCGCGCGGCGCGAACGTGCTACAATGTGTTAGGCGCGTGTCGCAGGTCGCCGGCAAGGGTCGTGCGCCGCTTTAAAAAGCTCCGGGAACTTCGGGCGTCCACAACTCGGCGAGAAATCGACGTACGAACGTGAAACAAACGCCATTCTTCTCGGTATCTCGCGCGTTAAACTAACCACACACACTTTTCGTAACAGTAACCGTAAGACGTAACGTAAGAATTGACCAATTACGATCGAGTATTCATAAAAATGGCGACCTTATGATTCGACGATTCTCAATGTATTGGTCAATTCTTACGTTATGTCTTACGGTTACTGTTACGGAAAGTGTGTGTGGCTAGCTTTACACTCTGCGCGATGGTCGTACGCGCTCTCGTCATGACACATGTTCGCGTGTACAATTGTGACACGCGGTATACGCGATAGATCGCTGGGAAAAACGGCAGAGTATGCTTGGACAAGAAAATCGTCGATTCGACTGTAATCTGACATAGTATTGAAGCGATTCTGCACACAGAAACATGCATATTACATTCAAGTTACTTCAAGTATTTCGTAAATTCATACATCCATGTGAATTTATCCACGAAAAGTTCTTCATACGCCAAATTTATTCAAAACACATTCTAAATTCCAGCAAGTTTAGAATTTCAATCAAGAATATTAAATGAAAACAATAACTCGGTTTACCTACCACATAGAGTCGGACCAACTTTTTCTTCGATGAAGTTTTATAATATTCTTGCAAAGAGAATAAATTATTCTTTCGAGCACATGATAATAAAATTTTCTCAAATTTGTGATATTTTAAAACTACTATCAAGGAAATATTCTTCGTTGAAGATAACCATTACTTAAGAGAAGGGAAGTGAACTCAGTAATCGATTTTCTTATCAGAGAATAGAATATTAAGAATGTTATTCTTCTGTGGTTGCTAAGATCGAAGATATAAGATTTCGTAATGATCCGTAATATACGATTGTAAAATATCTCAGTCTATATAAGATTTTATTAGATTTATCTTTACTAGATTTTTTTACATGCGCTTTTTCGTGCAAATAGCAGATAGATCAAATAGATCATTCGTGCAAATAGATCAGTATGATCTCAAGACGAATCTCGTACATCAAGAGAAAGAAGATCTAAAAAATATTTATTTGATAGTTACTAAGAGCATATTTATTTATATTCTAATATAAAGTATTTCTCAAATAAAAAAAATATATATTTTCTTCAAGCTTTAAGAAAATTTTAATTTTTGTGTGTGAAAGTAGTTATTTATTTGATTTAAATAAATTTTATTTAAATAAAGGAATTTAGATTTAAGTGGATGTGTTGTGACCAAATAAATATTTATTAATTTTTACGTATTTTTCTCTTAGTATAAACGCGCACGCACTAAAAGAAAGAAATGTTTGATCTGTTTAAAATTATACACTGAGAAAAAATACTTGGAAATTTATTTCTGTGAATATAAAATTTACATATATCAAATAAATTTCCAAGCATATTTTTCTCAGTGTAGTTATTTTTGATCTTAATCATATGTTAGTTGTTCCAAAACGAAAATGGTATTGATAACACGCGTATAAGGTTATTATCACTAACGTTGTAATAGAATTTAATTAAAAAAGTAATAGTAATTGTTTCTCTATATGATTACATTTATGAATAGCAGACATTTTTTTTCTCAGTGCGTAGGCACGAAAAGGAATCGCGAAAATTTCCTCGAAGACTTGTGTCTTCTCACATTTTATAAATATATTAAATATTATTTCTACGATATGATAATGATGTGTTAATATTAATTAAACATTAACTGATGTTATGTTATTTCGTTTCAGTGTAGTGAAGCCAGTCGGAAGGAGGTTACGTCCGGCGAATCGAATTCACGGTGCAAATTGGTGCGTTGGGAAGCAGGTATTTATAATAATAAAGTGTAATGGCGAACGTGCAATTTGCATGCTGCACGTTATGAGCAGCGAGAATGCGGGACATAATGTATAAACTTTAATTACGTCGCTTCAACTCGAAATTAGAATCGTACTTAAGTTTTAATTGGATCGATCGTCATTGTTGCAATAAGATAAGCTCGCGTATCACGATTGGCTTTTGAAATTTAGAACGTCCGAATTGCGCGTTCATTTCCGCGGAAACTGTCACGCAGTTAGCGAAGAGTTTGCGCGCGATAAGCGTAATAAAATTATACAAAATGCCATCTGCCGCTCGAAAACATCTGGTGATGATATCTATCGTTGAAGAAAGGGGTTGTCGCCCAACTGCGAGGAACGATAGTAGACCGCGACTCTCGGTGTGACATACAGTCCCGTCTCTCATTTCCGAAGAAATTATTTCTCATATCTATCGCGCGCGCCGCCATCCTTCTGCGAGGATTCTGCTTTACAGATGCATCGATTTCCGCTCCAGCGCGAGCTGGAAAAACGTGTATCGATCGTCGATCTAAGAATGGAGAAGACTAGAAATAGCGGGGCACGTTCTCTCGAGGAAATGTCTTTGCCTACTTTCCGCGCGCTCGCACGCGTCTACATCGAAATCCATTTCGAAGTCATACTGATTTCCATTTGCGCGAAAAAAGCGCACAATGCCGAAAAATCTAACAAAACCCGATCTAACAATGGCGTCCCGCACCCATAAACCTAGAAATAGCTATACACACGTACACACACACGCGCGTCCTCGGGCAGATTCTCCTCTGCATTATGCACGCGCGCGTCAATACCGAGGACTCCGTCTTCGAAGTCACGTCGATTTCTCGTTTGCGCGTAGTGAAAAAAGGACGCGCTATGCCAAGAGGAAGAAAGAGATAGATAGATAGATAGAGAGAAAGAGAGGAAGGGAGAGGAAGAAAGAGAGAGAGAGAGAGAAAGGAGAGGAGAGGAGAGGAACTCACATCGTCTCGGGAGTCGCGATCGATCGATGGCGCGGTGGCGGACAGCGTGTCGGCGCAATCGTCGAAATCAGAGCGCACTTTCGACCGGCGCATAACACGATCGGGAGAAACGTGCCACCGTCGGCGCGTAAAGCGCCAGGCCATCTTACGTTATTGCACATGACGGACGTGTTCCGCCGAGCGTTCTCTCGCGGCACCACTGCATCACGGGCCGACAGATGCATACTTGCCGTAGATATTGTCTCGTGTCTGAAGCAGCTGGCACGGAATATTGAAATATTAATAGAATATCGATGAGGCGGAAGGCACGGGCGCTCGCGAGCGCGCGAGTGCGCGAACGCAAAGCGGCCGAATCGCCGGCGGAAACCGACCAGCGGGAGCCCCGAAATTCGCTTATGGGCGATCCGCCGCGGGCTGACCGGTCGGAAAATGTCAGTTCGTGGCGATTAACAATCGATGGCGACCGGGGACGACGCTGCGATATCGCGAGCGCGCCGCATTACGGAGCGATAATCGGATTTTTTAGACAGACGCGCACTTGTTGCGAGAGAGCATTGTTCGCGGCAGACTGCGCGGAACGCCGGTGACGAGAAAAGGGGTAGAATGCAAATCAAGCCGTCGTCGCCGCTCGCGGTACGATTAGTGTGAGCGCGCGTGCGATCGATCGATCGTTTTAATTATTAAACCGCGCGTTTAGACCGCCTCTCGCCGTCGCGCCGGGAAGCTCTCTTCCGGCGGGCTCGGTTTCGCGGCATTATCGAGGAGTATGAGTTCGAGGTTCGCGATACGAATCGTTCGGAGGCGAATTAGCGGTCTGTGACGGAGGGGGTCCCTGCGAAAGATGAGAGATCGCTCGCAAAGTGGATTCCGCGAGTTGTGCGCTGTGCTAAAGTTCCGGGACGCGTCACATCGTGTCGACAACGACCAGCGTCCTCAAACGCCGCGAGGATTATCGTAAACATCACGAGGGTGGTAGCCCCGGCCGGGCACATATCGTGTACGCTTGTTGATCACAAGCCTGAACAATGCGCAGATGGTCTGATTTCGCCGATGGATAATCTTGTTGATTTCGCAAGGTACAGAGCGTAATCGCGCCGCGTGCATTGTGGACAGGAGGACTCTATTGGATTCAGTTGTATCCTTTGTTTCCCTCAGCTCGCGTGTACATCGCTGGGACAAAGAACCAACTGTTACCGCTCTTCAAACGCCTCTCTCTCTCTCTCTCTCTCTCTCTCTCTCTCTCTCTCTCTCTCTCTCGTGCTTTTTTCTCTCTTTTTTTTTTGAAAAACTCCAAATTGATTACTTCTGTTCACATCCGCCGTCTTATCGCTAATAATATCGAGATACTTATCGAACTTTGAAGACACGCGACGACGCGGCAACACGAGGTATCCGCGATTGCGGGGTGCAATTCGAAGCGGAGCCGACGCATCGGTCGTAAAGCTCTTGGGCGATTTTCATCGGACGCGCGTATGTGGGTGACTGCCCCCGCGATACAAGTAGGTCGCACGTAGGAGGACGTTTTACATATTCATAATAACGCAACTGTTAAAACAGCCGGTCGCGTAGCAATTCCTTCGTGCAACTGCGTACGTAACATCGCCTAAAATTTGCACGAGACCGTCGGCCGTTGCCGCCGCTGCCGCCGCCGCCGCCGCCGCCGCCGCCACCGCTGCTTACCGCCGACGCCGCCGCACCCTGTAGTATCGCTACGGCGTCTTCCGCAAACGCGCGAGCGTCCCGCTCACCCTCTCGCCCTCCTGCCCTCGTCGGCCTCTCGGGGGAGACCTCGATGGAGAATCCTCTCGCCGTCGACTCGTGGCGAAACTCGCTCGGCATTCGGCGTCAGCGTCTTGAATGGTGACAAACGGCATGCACCGCGGAACACACAATCGCGCCGTGGCTGCGACTGCAGGTACGGGAGCGGGGCGACGGGCGGCCGGGGGCCGAGGGCGGATGCGGAGGCTGACTGCAGCGCGCGAGCAATGCGGCTGCGACGTACAGTTGACAGAAGCGCTTACGGAGGCGAGAGATCGTATGGTACGTTCGCCTCTCCATCTTCATCCCTCTCCGACCCGTTTCGCCCTCCCGTTCTACGCCGTTTCCACGCCTGTGCGTACTTGCGTGAGTACGTAGGAGCGCGCGCGCGCGTGCATGCTGCCTGCATGCATGCATACGTGCGTGCGTGCATTCGAGCATGCATATGGTACCCGAGCTGGTGCGCGTGCACATCGTCGTCGTCGTCGACGTTGTCGACGGCGACGTCGTTGTCGGGTCGATCGGTGCGACGTCCGTGCGCGTAAATTGAGGGAATAAACGGATGCATGAGCGTTGCCTCAGGTTCTTATGAAAATTGAATAATTCCGGGTGTGAGTCCTCCCTTTCTCTCGCCTTAAGGTGTCGCGAGATAAAAGTACCAATGCACGAACACGAAGCTAAGGATATTTTTCGATTAAACCGTGACTGTTTCTTACATCGACGCTACATCGGGGCTACGTTTAGATTCACGTTACCTCGCACGAGTTCTTGTCTTTAAATATGGATATATTTAACAGCTCGTGATAAAAGAAATGTATACATGTATACATACATTGAATGTAGATATTGAGAAAAAAAATATCTAAGAAATAAAAAATGTTTATTCGCTGGGTATTAGTAACATATTTACTTATACTAACATAAAATATTTTTTTGATAAAAAATATATATTTGCTTAAGATTTTAGTTTTTGATGAAAAAACAATTGTTTATTTTAGTCAGATATAAGAGAATATAGAGATTTAAAAATAAATATTATTAATATATCCATCAAATATAAATATATTATTTTTTAGATATTTTTTCTTTTAGTATATATATATATATATATATATATATATATATATATATATATATATATTCCATGTTGTGAAAGTTAAAATATTTGTATTTAAAGACCAAAACAACAAAAATGCCCAAGATCAGATATGCGTCCGAGCACTGATACTTTTATTTTACATTAGACTGCTGTTGGAATATGACAATTTGCGACAACCCTTATATCAACTTCACGTCATATGCGACAATGGTCATTTTAATATTTTCAGTAGCACGTTATTCGGCGTATATTATTACTCGTGAGGGGACGCGGATGCGCAGGGGGATATATCCCGAAAGCATGTCAACGTAATGAACGCAAAGCTCTTCGTCGATTGGTGTGACGTCGCGTCTTTGTTCTTTCATTATAATGTTGAACCGCGGGGAATGTCCCTTCTGTACTTCTCATTCATCCCTCGTGCGTTTTTCTCCGTAGTAACTGGACCGAGCCATTTTGTGGCGCGTAATATGTCGCGATTGCGAAAAAGAGGAATATATGAAAAATGAAACGGGAGAAAAGCGCGATGCGATGAGAAAGCAAAGAATAATGGACGAGATAGGCATTTCAAGAGGGGATCAGCGTAACACGAAAGAAAATCGTATTTCTCCCGCGATGTCGTTTCACATGCGTATATACGTACGAGGTAACGTGAATATAAACGTGGCCGCGCGTCGATGTAAGGAACTGTCACGGTTTAATTGAAAATTTGTTCTCGCGAATCGGCGAAATTCGTCCATCTTGCGTATAGGTGTTGCACATACATACACACACGCGCGCGTCCTTATACAATCTCGGGCATAATGTTGAATTAATTAAAACTTTCGGCGAGAGGTAAATTGCGAAATACTTAAGCGCGCACAAGTAGCAATAAAACGTTGCGGTTGATGCTAATGAAACGCACAATGGAACGAACATTCACAATGAACGGTAGCCGCCCAAAACAGAGCGCAACGGCCGTTACACTCATTACTTTCGGCGACGCTAATGCATCGCAAAATGCACCTCGCGGAAGATATTAAACATTCCGATTCTCTCCCACGTCATTCCGAGATGCGGTCCGTAATTTTTTCCAAACGTGCTATATCGGGGCGGACAATCGCGCGGAATTGCGAGTTCCGTTTTCGAAAATGCCGACGAATGCATCCCGCTTAG